CACGAATTGTGTAATATGTGTATATGCATGTGTTTGGAATTTGTATACCAATATAACCCGTTCAGTGTAACTCACGGACTAAAAACTGCGAGAATATCTGTAAAATATCTTTTATGTTGTTGTTGTTTTTTCCCTATGTTGGCAAAGCGGTACAGGTCTCACTTCCTGGGAAAATTCGAAGAAATTTTGTTTCCTTTTCTATTGAACAACGTTGGAAAAACTATATTTTCCTCGCTATAACCAACGTCATGGTGCAAATACCGTCTGGTGTAAAATCGTAGAGTCGGTACATGATTGTGGTGAAATGACCATCCTATTATAGATTTTTTTCTTGTAGAAAATCCTGCTATACCGAAGTGTATTGAAGGAATCCTATAGCCCCTAATCCCATATCTACATCATGGTTTAAATTCCGTCTGGTAAAGTCTCTAAACAAATAATAGTTGTAGAGAAACCCTGCTAGGTCAAGGTATTTCATAGTAACCTTAATTCTCGTAGCTCTAGAAAACATCATGGCATAAATGTCGTCTGATAGAATCCGTAGATACATGAATAGTTCGGAAAAAATCCCTGCTGTTATGTTGCTTCATACAAACCCGACACCTCCTAATCCCAGAAAACGTAATGGTGGCAATTGCAGGTTGCCGTCTAAGCATCGCCTCAAAATCCATCGCATTAACGAACAGAAAAAAAACTATCGAGACCGTATTCGGACTGTGAAGGAGTGGTTTACAAGGGTATGCATCAACCTACACTTGAAAAACCGGTTTGTCCACTTGTTTATACTTGAGATTTGAAACGTATTTATTCACTTGCATTTACTTGATATCTAAAACGTATATGTCCACTTGCTTATGCTTGGGATCTAAAATGTATCTGTCCACTTGCTTGTACTCGAGTTCTAGCACGCATTTTTTTTTACTTGTCTTTCCTTGAGGTCTAAAATCCATTTGTCGACTTGTGCACATGTATATTTGAGATTTGAAGTCGTAATTTTTTTTATTATAAATTGCTTATTTTTATACATGCAATCTGAAGTATGGTAGGGTTTGTTAATGTTTTTGGTGTAATGGTTCATTCGTGTACGCATCCGATTGCTGTATTTATGATCTAAAATGTATTTGTTCACTTGTGCACGCATATCCTTGAGAGTTGAGTGTAATTCTTAGCTTTCTTATTCAAATACATAATATACTTATGTTTTGAAATACATTTCTTTATAGACCTTGCTTTATATAAATGGGGTCTCAAATACATTCCTTTACTTGGCCGATTTTTTCTGCAGGGGGGTGTGCTCATTATGGGCTATGAGATGTTCAAACTGCTCGTGCAGGGGGGCAAGGAGAGCAAGGCAGAGCGTAAGTGTGTGTCCATAGCTTTATTCCAATGCAATATACTAGATGATTCCAATAGATTGTTCCACTGAATTATTCCAATGGATTATACCTATGAAATTCCGTGGATTATTACAATGGCATACCTCTCAGAAAATGCATACTGTTCGTTTAGAATGTGAATATCACATGAATAGGCCTGAAAAAAAGTTAGACCCATCATTTCAAAATCGGGGTTGTTCGAAATTGTAGATACAAAGGTGTGAACTCATTCATTAACAATTGAGGTTCTTCTAAATTTCAGTAGCACAAGAGAGTACTGGCCCATTCAGAATCAGGATTTTTCTTAATCTCAAAGTAAACGTACTAACTTATATGAAGTCGGAATTGGTTTTTTGGTAAAAAGGTGAGAACTCATTCATTCACAATCGGGACTGTTCTAAATTTTAGGTAAAAAGGTTGCTCAGTGGCTACTCGATCCCGGGCCTGATTTGGTGGTGTGCGATGAGGGGCATCGCATCAAAAACAGCGAATCACAGATCTCAATAGCATTGCAGAAGTTGCGAACAGGGTATGGATCTCGAAAGTAAATGTGTTGTTTATGTATTCAAAATCACTGTGGATATGACCGATAAACCAAGGATGGATATGATGTGTTTGGAACGAGAGCGAATATAAACTGAGGATACATGTGGTATATTCGGGATCAGAGTGAATGTAGACTTGTGCATGAGGTGATTATTGATGAGGGACATCGCATCAAAAACAGCTCTTTGTAGCTCTCAATAGCCCTACAAAAGCGCGTACGAATTATGCCATTTAGATTACGGAAATCTGGAATACAGACTTGCACGCCCAAGACAGCGTATGTAATTTTTACCCTTCATGACTTAAAAATATATATATAAAGAACCAGGGCGGGTATAGACTTAAACGCCAATCTGACAACCCCAAAAGTGGGTTGTTCATTTATACAAAATTAGGGCGAGCATAGACGTATACTCCAATCTTACACTCTCAGAAGGGGCAAATTTGCCTGTCCAGAATCAGGGCGAGCATGGTCTTGTATGCCAATCCGACACACCCAGAATTGGGGTATATACCCAGAACCAGGGCGAGTACCAACTTGTATGCCAATTACATTTCAGAAGTACTTTTAGTCATGGACCTGTATGGTCTGGTAGACTGGTAAGGAGCAATTGTCGGCTCGTTTATCTCTGAAATGGTGCTTACGGTGGTCCAGTTTGATACTTTTGTACTAGCTTTGGTTTTATTTATTGTTTCATACAATTAGCCTTGTATTGACATCAACTCTGTCTTTTTTTTACACAAATATATCCTAGTTTGTTTGTACAAGTTCATAGGCTGTATTGAACCGGTTGTAATTGTCCTCCTCGCTTTTGTAGTGACATGTTATTGGTTTTTATTGTAACTTCACTTTCACGCCTATCGATCTTCCAGGAGGCGCATAGTACTGACGGGATATCCACTGCAGAACAACATGAAAGAGTACTATGTAATGATCGACTTTGTAAGACCCGGTCTACTCGGCACTCCAGCTGAATTCGCAGTCATGTTCGACTCTCCAGTCAGGAACGGTAGGTCGCACTACATATAGCAATAGTATATGATTTAGTGCTATATATATGTATATGTAGATATACATATATATATATATGTGTGTGTGTGTGTGTGTGTGTGTGTGTATGTGTGTGTGTATATATATATATATATATATATGAATGTATGTATGTACTTATGTATGTATGTATGTAGGTATGTATGTATATAGTTACGTATGTATATATTTACGTATGTATGTATGTATGTATATGCATGCATGTATGTAGGTATGTATGTGTGTTTGTGTGTGTGTGCGCACGCACGCACGTATGTATGTATGTATGTATGTATGTATGAATGTATGTATTTATATATACATATATATATATATATATATATAAATGAGATAATATCGACTCGAAAATGTCTTTATATTATATGTGCAGACACATATACCAATATCTAAATAGATCCGTATCTATGTGTCCAAAATTAAATGTATGTATATATACTTTCATTGCTAGTGCAATCTCTGTACACACACATTGATGCATATGACATATTTACACGCGACGTGTTTAACTATCTTCCTGCACGGGAGTTGTTGCACATTTACATACTAAACCTCCCATATGCAAATGACAGTCAATGGAAAACTTGTGCGCATAGCTCAGGGGAGCTAAGTATGTCAATCAGGTTTTTGCCAATATTCACACACTGTCACTGTCTGAATGAAAAATATTCTGAAGAAATCAATCTTATGATAGAAAACTAAGTTTTATATCACAATTTGTGTTAGTTGGCGAATTTGAATATAGAGACCTGACAATCGTAACTCTGTTGCTGTCCGAGCCTGTCCTTATATTTGGTACGACGCTATTTCGATCTCTTTCCGAAGTGTACTAAATTTTCTGAGTGGACCAACTGTTAATACAAATTAATTCAGCCACATCACATAGTGGCGAGAGACTGATCTGTTTGTTAGACCAATTGAGCCATATGAGCCAATGTTACGAAAACAATCTAAATTAATTCAACTACGCTAACTAATGGGCGATGACTACTATTTCAATATAATAACTGTTGGTGTCATGAGGCAGGCCAGTGCGAAGATAGCACACGCGATGACATCAAGCTAATGAAGTTCAGGCTACATGTGCTTCAGTTGAAACTTAGAGGATTCGTCCAAAGGTATCCATAAAATAATTTAAATATAGTTGCATATTATATTTATATATATATATATATATATACGTGTGTGTGCGTATATTTATGTATTTATTTGTGATTATTATATATATGTAGTGTGTGTGTGTAGTATATATATATTGTAGTATATATATATATTATATAGTATATATATATATATATATATATATATATATCTATATACATACATATAATATATATATATATATATAGTTCTACAGTTCTATAGTTATAGATGGTATATTGTTACATATAGTTTACATGCAGATTCCGAGTGTGTATGAAGTAGTTTGTAGTCTGAGTGTCCTACTTTTCAACGGTTCCGCAAGTATTCCACGCGACAAGAATGTCACGATATGTTATGCGATTACACTACATATACTGTAGAGATTCTTTGTAATATTAAATTGTATATACAAGAAGGAGGACAATGATACATAGGAGTTTAATATACATGAAGGTTAAACTAAAGAGATATACTCTTTTTCTTTTTTGAATTGTTATGAAATTTAAAATACGTTTGTACAATCCGTAGCGAATATATAGCTAAGTGGGCCGATATTAGATGTATTTCTATTCTACACATTTCGTACAATCTTATCGCTGATTGAGTCAGTCGAATTTGTATGATCGTATGAATGGCTTATAAACGGAACGCTCTGTTCGACATGGTATATTGCTAGTAATTATACGGATACCCATCCTAATGCTTATCTATCTATATTCAGTATACCTATCTGTTGTACCCGATCTGTTGTACCTTTAATAGATATACATATATATATATATATATATATGGATTGCGACAGAGTTTAAAGATTGCTTCCTCTAATCCAGCCTAATCAAGTAGCTTACTTAATCCACATACATCCGTCTGCATATACTTTCGCTCAGGCGTTTAACAATCCGGTCAACGACGGCAGCGGCGGTCCTACCACCGGTGCGCACCTGTTCCTAATCTCCATCAAGGCGGGAGGTATAGGGATTAACCTAGTGAGTGCCAACCGGGTGATAGTACTGGATGTCGAGTGGAACCCTGTGCATGCAGCCCAGGCTGTATGCCGGGTGTACCGGTTTGGCCAGACGAAGAAGGTGTATGTGTATCGCATGTTTGCGAGCAATACCATGGAGGAGGTGGTTTATGAACGAGAGGTCCTCAAGCGCGGGCTGTCGACCAATGTCGTGGATTCCCAGGTGTGTCTGCACGCTACACATCTGATGATCTCGAGAAGGGCAGAATTCTCTCACTAAATGCTTGTAGTTTGTCCTAGATCATTATGCTTTTCCGGCTTCGTTTAATCTCAGATGTCGCGCTACTTGATAGTCTCTAGAATGGCAGTGTTCCCGCGCTCGATGATTGTAGCTTCTATTAGTCTATTGTCATTATGCGTTTCCGGCTATTGTCAATTTGATAAATCAAAACGAATGCAGCTATTCTGAAGTGTGTATGTACGGCAGAGTTTTCGCGCTAGATGCTTGTAGATTCTATAAATCTATTGTCACTATGCTTTTCCGGCTATTCCTAATTTGGTGTGATATCGAATCTCGTTGATTCTCATGTGTTTATGTAGGCTACTTGATAATATAGAAGGCCAGAGCTCTTTCGCGAGATGCTTTTAGCTTCTATTAGTCTATTGTCACCATTCTTTTCCCGCTGTTGCAAATGTGATGAGTCGAAATGAATGTGCAGACACTTGGAACGAAGTAACACTGTAATATCAGATACATGACCACCCCTATCGACCCACTCTCTGACGCCAACCCTTATACTTGTAAATACACATATAGATTCACGATTTCTCGCTCACTTTCTTTTACATACTTTGTTATACGTACCTAGCTCAATGTCAGTGCGAATGGCGGGAGGGGGCGCGGTCCATATCTATTCACATACAGAAAAAGCATAAATACATAACACAATCCATACATACACACGATTGCCGAGCCACTTTCGGACACAATACGTTTATGTACCTCTCCATATCTTCCGTCTGAGCTAAAACTTCTACATACAAATTCCTATTTCCATTTGAAATACCTCAACTTCATCTCCCCGTTATACATAACCCACAGGATGTCAGAGCGAATGTCGGGAGAGAGCGGAGTCAGAATCTGTTTGGGCACCGGCCCGAAACGCCGTACAACGCCAGTGAAGTGGTCGCTGGCGACGATCACCTGCTCACGTCACTGTACCGGACAGATGCGCATCTGTTTGCCGCACCCCCGCGTGACCACAAGACCTTTCTAGACTCGGTGAGTACCGAACTTTCGGCGGAGGAGGAGAAACGGGCCAAGCAGGAGTATCAGCGACAGGTGCGCATGTCGGCGGAGGAGGAGAAACGGGCCAAGCAGGAGTATCAGCGACAGGTGCGCATGTCGGCGGAGGCGGAGAGCTATGCGGCCCAAGCGAGGCTGTATGGTACGACGAATGCGTACGGGCACTTTGTGCTGCCCGAGGGTGGGATGGGTGTGCCTGGGAACGGGAATGGGGGATATACTGGTGGTTTTGGTGCTGGTGCTGGCGTTGGTGTTGGTGTTGCGGATAAGAAGCCTAATATAATCGCGGACAGGGGCATTTCAAGTACACAGGTGAGTCGTGTGATTGTTAAGATATGTATTGCTATTTTCACGAGTGTCAGTTTACAAAATGTGTGGCCTTCTTTCTTGATAGATTTATGAGTATGCTCGTTTGCTGTACTATATCTTTATATTCCACCTGTACTTAATTTACAGGGTCTTGGAGGGGTTCTCTCAGGGACATCGCGTGCGCCTCTACCAGTTCCACTACAAGGACGGGGGGTGTACAAGAACGAGTTGACAGAACAGTTTATTGCTGCCAAAAATATGCAGCTGAATGCTGCTAGCGAGCACTGGGCACGACGTAACGGGGTGAAGACCACGGAAGTACCTATGCCAGCTGTCAAACGACAGGTGCACCCTCTGGAAAACGGTGCAAATATTTCACATACACAAGTACATGGATCTAATTCTGGGAGGAAGGGGGATAAGCGAGATATCGAATTTATTGATATTGGTTGATAGCATGTTTTTGAGTACTCGTTAATTCAATGAATTACCGGTACACGGCACAACTGTCGTATGTTTGGACAAGCATCTGGTTCTGAATATGTCTACTGATGCAGTCGAGGTGGGGTGGATAATAGAGGAAACGAGCAAAGAATCTGACATGAGCGTAAGATCGAGTTTGTTGACGTATGTTGAACACATATGAGTGAACTTGTTCATTGACCGGAAACCGAGTACTGCGCACCTGGCATAGAGCTGATCGTACCGCATTTAGCCTTTGTAAGGGGCGGGAAATCTCGTTCCCGGACGATCTGATCGCATTCACAACCCCGCGAGTCCGCAACCATGGGGATATGCTAAGTGAATGCGGATGCAGGTTATGCATCGCCTTTTGATGTAAATGTGAAGCTTTCGTACCAGTTCAGCAACTGCCACGCTGATAGAGCCTCCTTGCCATCTGGTAGTGGTTCATTGACGAAAGGTCCGCAGTATGTATTTAACGTACAATAAGCACTGTCAAATAAAAATATCATTCCTATAGTGGAGAGCTGCTGCATGACAAGTGTATCTGCGATATCTCAGGTTGAATAGAAAATAAGTATTGTCAGACTTAGTACGCATAGAACAATTGGTGTTCGCGCTATATCTGCGAGAATGCGGAGGTGCGTTCTTGCACCAAAATCGACCGCACAAGTACAGTACCTGGATGAATAAACGATTTGCTCAGTGGAGAAAAAAACTTGAAAAAGAGTTTTTATTTTAGGAAGCCAATCCATGGTTCGATGGAATAGGTATCACCCATTCACTGTCAATGGAAGGCGACGAGTATAGACTGTCGTATTACACCGTAGTCTTGACAAGGTAGCGAGCATGTCTGTGGCATAAGGAAGGTATTTGATGCGAAGATTTGCTCCAGCTAAATCTCTACTGTGAAATAACTTCTAGAATTTTGAATTCGGGAGTGTAGGATCGCTTAATTCAGTAAATTTCTCAAATGCTGTGGCCGTGTTTGGATGACGTTTAAAATAAAAGGTCGCGTATACTGTCTAAGCTCAAAGTATCTGCCGTGTTCACCAAATCCAGCATTAATTTATATAAATTACATTTGCTTTGACGCCACAAGGTATGAAGTGCACACAGCTCTTTGCAAATTTTGACTGTCATCCGCAAAAGCATAAAATGTATAACATTTGGTCACATCCAAATTGTGCTGTGGTGATTGAAATCGACCTTGCATCAGTAGCAACTTGCCCTCATCTGAAGAAGGGCTTCTACCGATCGTGGACTAATAAATAGCGCGTGTCTTGTTTAACTCCAGCCCACTCAAAATATTCGTAGCCAAATAAATAGCGTGCGTACTTCTTGCCTCCTGCCCACTCACAATGTTATAGCTTCTGCCAAAGTAAAAGGGCGGTGATGCAATCCGCAATATTGTCTGAAATGCATTTTAATAACCTCGAATGCATCCCTATATTCGTAATCAATAGACAGGATTGGTAGTGGATAGAAATGATATCAGCTTTTGCATAAGCGACGCAGATTGGTAGGAATTCTTAACTTTAAGCTCATTGCGAGCCATATTAATGACAGGTTCGCCTTCGTTCACACATTAATTTGTTCAGCAGTCATAGGCGTTAATACATTCGATGCCTACTCACACCAATCAAACAACTTCCCATCTGAATTTGTCGGCAACCAAGCAAAGACGAAAGAAATCTTCAAACTCTACCCACTCGACAAATTTACATAAAGGTTAGTCTTTGCGACAAAAGGAAGGATTGTATAAATTGCCTCCGCAGAACGTTTTCGCAAGCAACAGACAAATACATGTTGCAATATATGTCATCAGAGAAGACGAGCTACTTCAGTCATTCGCATTGGTTAGCCGGCGGCCACAACAACTCGCACTCCATAAGTGAGGTGACATGCCGGTTAGTTTTGTTTGCAGTCGTTGTTCTCTGAAAACGGCTCATAAACAGAACATACTGGTCGTCGAGGTATGCATTGTCCGCATCAAAAAGAGAAAGTTTTGAATGAGCCATAGACTAAGAGGCGAAACATCGACACAAGCGTCAGTGATAAATGCAAAGGATACGAAAGCGCGAAAATGCGCTGAAAATAATTGTATATTGCTCTGATAGCCCGTTTTGGCAGCGAAGCTCTTGCTTGTATTATAAACCTCGTCGAATTAAGGAGGCACTTTGAATTTGAAGGCACTTTGAACAAGATATGCGTGTCACATATGTTCTATAAACATTAACAGAAATATAGCAATGTGTAGTGGTGTACTGTAGTACACGACAGGATCGAAAAATATATTGCGCAACATTATTAGGGTTGGCATTCATTATTGGCATGTGAATTTCAATAAATTGGGAGATATCATCGGTTGTAACAATGACATGGTATAATGTTTATATCAGCAATGATTTTTGCGACTTATATATGCTGCTGGTAGAAGAGGCAGAAATCAGCTTGTCAAGAAAGTTCAAAGGACAAATAAATTTGCATCAAACCACACGAGGTTACGATTTCTCCGTTATGAAATGTATAGGTTTATATGATGGAAATGCTGAACACCAAACTGCACAGCTGCAATCCCTAACAATCAAGTGTTTCATCCCTCGTTTCTTTATAAATATTAAGATATTAAACTGCAGAAGCGAAATACAGTCCATTTAGTGATTTTCATTACATCTTCATCGTACAAAATATATGGTAAAACGTAAATACATATGAGAAGGTCCACATAAAACAAAAACGCGATCTATATATTTCTATACGATTTAAAAAAAATAGCCTTTGTATTATCCGGAAGTCATAATTTCGTCAATATAGTTGCGGTATATGTTTTAGGCATTGTATACGCATCTTGCGCAGAGATCATACACCTTTGAGGCCACCCTTTTGATATACCTTCCGTTAATCTGGCAATCGACATGAATTTGGACGCTATCTAACTTTAGAATATTGATCATATAGCATATTGGACCGAAAAACTTGATTGTGCGAGTAAACTTACTACAATACACGTCCTGATTAATCCTACCTATCAACTTTTTCGTGTCCAATCACGGGTGTTGATTTTTGCGATCAAGGATACATGCTCAAGTTCCGTCTCACTATTCAAATTTGTCTTTACCTGCATTTGATGTTATGAAACTACTACAGTTATTAAAATGTTATACGTATAAAATATTCAGCTTTTCTCGAGGTCGTTTATTTTCTCACTAGAGTTACTAGATTGTATAGTAACGATCTTTATATGCCTTATAAATCAAATTCAAATTTTTTGGAATAAACGTGCTGGCACATAGATGTATTTGTCAAGGCGGGATGCGTTTGCTGCTGTATCTGATGCATACAGAGGTTGTGTATTGCTCAGATCACATTGCTGGGAGATGAACGGCGAGTGGTCAGCTCGTAATGGTAGGAAGCGCGCGGGGGGGGGGAGGGGGGGGGGGGCACTTGATTGTCAGCGGCGTCTTTCGACACAGGAGGTTTAGTGGGGAAACGACATGTTCAGCAAGCGGGTGCTGGGCGTGTCTGGAATAGGGTACGGGGCGGATAGAATGCCTTGGGCTTGTTTACAAAGGTCGTCTCCCAGTACTTAGGTTCAATTGCCAAACATTAGGGTCCAGGCTGAAGTCCGTGAAACCGACAGAAATATCCAAAAGCATATCGTCGGTCTATGCTTACCAATGTTTCCGCCGTGTGACGTATGTACAGGTGCTGGCTGTGTGTCGCCAGGCTCGTGAGTGGAGCCCTCCGTGGTTATAGGTGGGTCTGTGACGTCCGTGGAAACCACAGATTGGAGGGTAGCGGCAGTATCAGATACCTCGTGCTCATCGTCGGCCGTAATACACACAACTGCGGGTGAGGTCTTTGCTTCTGCCGCGAGGACCGCGTCCGCTTCTGCTTGTGCTCGTGTTGTTGCAGAAAAACATGAAACAGAGCGGAATTGATGGCCTACATGCCAAATGAATGCTATGGCACTGTTGCTTTTCTTCTATTGGAGAAATAATGAGGGACTGGGTAATTAATACCAGCCCCACTTTCAACATGGGCGAGCAGTGTGTCTTCCACGGCGGTAGACCAACCGTTCGCTTGCCACCAAGAAGGAAAGTGTCCTCCTCATTTGTGATAATTGGATGACATACATACCGAAAAGGGGCGGCCACGGGACTCTCCCAGAATGGGACACACGACACGACCGAGACGTTGCGGAACGTGGCGATGTGGTATAGCGCATTATCCATAATGCCGAAGGGCGAGTTTCCAAAGCAGTGTTTGTCGTTCAGGTCGGCAGCGAAGACGTCCCAGCCGTGTGTATTGTACCAACATCGCTGGGTTCGTCGATACAGTAAATCCTGGAAATGAATTTTTCCATAGCCAAGACGCTGTTCCGCTGGGACCATGAGCGGGTCCAAGTGATCATAACACCGGGACATATAGTCGCCGACGATGTTCAATGGACAGGGGACATACTGGTAATCTATTTCCACCTCGTGTATAGCCTGGATAGAGCGTAGTATACGACTGCTTTCTATAGTGTCATCGTCCGAATATTTCCTGGATTCTTCATGATATTCAAGAGGGGATTGTAGCACGTGTACACGACCACAAGAAGATGAGAGCGCTACAGAATGTGCATCACCTTCTTGGCTGTTATTTTCAGCCCGTAATTTCGCGTCTTATAGCGCGGTAGTTACGTTGCGCCGAGTTCAGCGTGGTAGCACCGAGGATGACAGGAAATAGGTTGGAGTGACCGGCAATTGTAATGCACACGTTCATGATTTCCTGGCGTACTATGCCGTAACCCTCCTTACCGTTCATAAGGGGGATAACAATAATGTCGTCGATGTCCACGGTTACCGTGGTGTGGCATTGAATTTGTGGTGGGGTCCGCGGGCTCGATCGCTCGGCTCGAGAACTGAAGAGCAAGGGCCTCTAGACCCATTTTGAGGTCCGGTTGGTTCAGAACCCGTGATTTCGCTGCTGCCAAAGCTATAGTGCAAAGGGCCGCGTCTTCTATCTTGTTCACGTCATAGCTCCCTCTATTTTTACAAAAAGAGTCTTTCCCGCAGACGTGTTGCAGGCACCCGGGCACATCATCAGTCGCTGGTGCCGAAGCGGCTGATATAGCTTGATACTCATTGGAGAGGCAGTACAAAGCCTTCTTCCAGTCCAGCTATTGTATCGTGATCCGCGTAAACGCCTCATTCATCTTCGTGAGTCGAGTGAGTGCCACAATAGTGCGTGCATAGTGGGGTACCATGCTCGACCACCAGGATACCATGCCGAATAAAAAGATAATTTCTTTCCTGTTCTTGGGAACTGAAGCCGTAAGAAATTCAAATTCATCGCGGTCTATTCTAGATCTGTATCTCAAAAATATTACACTCCCTAAAAGGCGGCTGACCTCTTTCAAAAGGCGAGATATTTCGCTTTTCGTTGGCTACAGATGTACGTTCGTTTCTATCGTGATGTTGGAGGTTGGGTCGGTGTTGTCCGATGGTTGCGATATACGTATTTCCGTGAATCCACTTGGCGATTATCATCAGGTTGTCCAATTAGGGGAACAATGCCTTAACCTGGCGGAAGGTGTGCAAAATACAGTGTTGCACATCCAAGCAATCATTATATCCTGGATTCCTTCGAGTAGGTAGATTGCTTGGCGGAACATGCCTTTCGTGAGTATAGAACTTGAGAATGTGGTGGCATTCTGATGCAATCATCAATTGGTGGCAGAATGCCGCCAGGTCAATGCAAGTTAGAATAAATGCCCCGTAGGCGTGATTGAGCACGTGTATCGTCTTCTGTTGGCAGGGTAATAGGCAGATTATGACATTATACATACACGTGCTGTGCATGAACCTTCTGTCATGGTCAACCAGGTACATGACTACGATCTTGCGGGTGATCACTTCACTCTTGAGAAGGTTGTTCGTACGGTAAACGGTGCGCACGGGTAGTGTTCCTGGTAGTGTCAGTACCTCTACCATAACATCACGGAAAAATTTAGGACGACTCGGGTCCATGTCGACCTGATAGAACTTGTCCTTCGGGCGTTGGACTTTGGTCTTGGGTTGATTGGTGGTTCGTCCGAGGTATGAAGTCGGATTCCGCAAGTGGGGCGTTCTAGTCAATGATGTATGGGCTACGGCGAGCGATGTCCAAGTTATACAAGACTTCCGGTGGACGGTATACTAGGAAGATAATCTAGTACAATAAAATAGGCAACTGCAATCGGAAAGTGGGCGGAGAAATTGATTCATCCCATGTGGTACCTGAGCGTTCGTGGCGCATTGTGGACAAAGTACCATGGACGGAGATTTAGGACCGGACCAGAGGACCGGACATATAAGAGCAATTCGGGACCGGACCAGAGGACTGGACCTATGAGGATGATTCAGGACTGGACCAGGGAACCGGACCAGATAGTGGAACAGAGGATTTAGTGAGAAAGAAGCGTGACTCATCGGAAGTCATCATAATTTAGCAACCAGGAGACCAAAAGCATATATTGTAGGTTTCGGTCTCTTAAGGCGATATTAACGTCTTAGAGTAGTTAAACGTAATAAAGTCTTCTAAAGCTCAGATGAAATTAAAACAAAATAAATGTAATTAGTCTTTTAGTAAAGTTAGGTTTGCCTCGTGAAAACAGCAATACTCTGAGGGATTGTGAGGCTGAGACATTGCCTATATATAATCCTCTCAGTACTGTTTTTGCCGAACGGATTTTATTCATCTTTTCGTTGTTCGATCGAATTCGAAAGACTCCTAAAATCCTATCTTTAGAGGAAAAACAGTAAAAAGAAAAAGAAAATACTCTTATGTCTTTTGTTATTATCTTAACCAATGACTTTCCACTTATCAAGAATTACCGACTTGCCATCATAGATTGGCACATCTGGTTGGCTGAACGGAGGATCAACTAGGTAACATTAATAGTCCCTAGAAACCTATTTTCGGTTGAGCCATCTCGCTACCGAAGTATTCAGAAATAAATAGATTTGGAATAAAACATAGTTCTATTAATAAAACTATTCCAAATCCCATCTTTGGCATTTTCATCGGGCCTTTTAATGGCCTTCATCCAAACATCTGATATGTAAAATGGAAAAGGTACTTTTAAATAGAACCGTTAAAACCATTTGGTTCACGTACTATTAAGAGTCCGTTTATAGTTTATGTACTGCTTAAAGAGTACGTTTATAGAGCATGGTCTAATGTGGAGGCCCGGCTATTACATAACCGGATCAGCACACTCGTTCATCTGAGTTTGTACCCACTTAAGGTGGTACGGCCAATCATCTGTATCATCCGTTAATTCAGTACGTAAGAAGAACTTAAGTCTTCTATGGCGCGTTTCATTCGCGCCTTGTGTTTGCGGTTTATATGGTACACCCCTTTTTTCATATGCCTGATACGAGTACTAACGATTCCATTACGTCATCGTAGAACTCGCTACTGTTAATAGTACACATTATACCCGGTCATTGTGATCAGCAAAGACTTGGTAACATAATTCTGCCACGGTCTGCGTATTCTTATCCTTTAATGGATAGAGCAAGCTAAACCGTGACGCCACATCAAAGAAGTGGCATACGTAACGGTCGCCTGTGTGCTCGGACGTAGGCAGGTCAACCAGATCAATGATGACCCTGCACCATGGAACATCTTCGGTCACACTAGTAAGTGGTGCGAGCCCATAGCGCTTCATCTGGTTGAGATCACAGTCTGTACATAACTGATATACTCTGTCAATTAAAGTTGCCAGCTTAAGGTGCGCGATCCCATTTCGCTTAGCATCTTTAAGTGCGTCTACTACGTTCTGGTGCTTCAGCTTATGGTTTTGCGTCAGCCAAGCAAGAATGTTTTCATCATTCTACTCCTCCAGAATGAAGGTAGGGTGTTGAGAATCCACTTGCGTGGTCTCTAAGTCTGTAGTGTTTCCAGACTCCTGTCCTTCTTTTGCATGAGTGTCATGAGTGCGCTCGTGTGCGTTTGATACACCTGACTTATTTAACAGTTGCATTATATGTGTATATGCTTCGGGATTGTCGTTCATCAATCCCTTTAAAAATAGGGTTTGAAAGACTTCGGACTTGGACTTTATGTTGTTAAACAGAGTCCTAGCAAGAGACTGACGCTACTTAACTTTAGTGTCATTAGTAGATTGTATTTCTTGTCCACATACTTCAAGTTCTGTGTTGCCTTTGAACTGCTTAACGTTCAATTTGGTAGAGAGTGGGATCTCTGACTCTTTGACCTCGTTAAGGAAGGTCTCAGTAGGGGTCCATTTGGTTGTTCCAATGGGACCTATACGACATATTATAGTATGTCTCCAGGGCGTCTTCTGGAGAGCTCGGGTACCCTGATATAGGAAAGTATCTGCTTCCCTATCTAAATATATTGGCTCGCATTGTATCATGCTTAATAATGTATTGAGCCATAGATTTTTACTCCGTATTGGGCAGCACAACGTGATGGTAGCTTTGTGTATATGAACATAATTTAGTAATTGGGCAATTAACTGCCATGGTGGATTAGCCCACGCATTATGTTCGAAGAGGTCTAATTGAAAGGCATCTCCTAGAGGATAATTTAAAGTCCGGTAATTCTTAAGTTGTGCATTATGATGTGCAGCGAACATGTCAACTGTATGTGGCACAAATATCTTTTGAGCCAGTTCAAACCACCTGGGGTTACATTTCCAATCAGTGGCTAGTAACTCACGTACGAATTTATTAAAGTCCGGTACAAAGCGTGATAACATATCCGGTAAATGGTTATGTATCCCTGGTAGATGTTTGATATCAAAATGAAACTTTGATAGTGTATCATGCCGTCGACTCAGTAATTGAGAGTCTGGCTTCATTCCCTTCATATATTGAAGGGACTTCTGATCACACATCAGCGTAAAAGCTGTTCCGTATAAGTAATCGCGGAAA